GAGAACGTGCGGCCCGGTCGGTCGGGCTTGCCAGCAAACACCCCATTTGGTACAGAGGCTGGAAAAAATCCATCCCCACACTAAAGGGCTCTGAAAGCGCTTGCCGGAGGGGCAAATCCGAGACACGCGGGAGGCGAGATTGAGAAGGGCTCGCGGCGTCCTTTGTTCCCGCAACTCGCTTCTTTTATTTCCAGAATCGATAGAATCCCAGCGCGATCGCGAGACACGCGAAGACGGAGGCTGCAAACAAAGGGGACAAAAAGAGAACATTTGTGCCGGCCGTATCAAAACGTTTTCAGCTACCTGTGGCGTGGCAGTTTCTTCTAAAACCTTGCTAAAATATTCAGTGCATCGTCAGGGGGGGCCCTCCTGAAACTTCCCCCACCAGACTCCGCACTCCCACTTTTCAACTTCGGGAGATTTCCCCCAAACCATCAGTCCAACTGGGAAAGGATCCAGAGACAGAGAGATAGCATAACCGATACGAGAGCCCCAAAGGCCACAATTGTACAAAGACGCACTGCATCATGGTTATGCGTAAATGAGTGTGATGGGATTCCTTTTAAACTACACAGCCAATCAGATGCCCAGCTGGGAAAAGCCCTACCTAGCCACCCCCACTTTCTATAAGCACTTGGCAGGTACCAGGAAAGGTACTGGTGGGTGCCATAGTTAAGGTCTTTCATATGCATGGGAAGGTTACAAACCACCACTGGAAGCTCGCTGATAGTTGAAACAGCCCCACCCACTTTCAGATGCAAGCCATACCCCCTTTGTGAGGTATGAGCCAACGTCCTCTAAAGTAGATGGAGGAGCTACAGATGAAATTGCATGGGCCAGAGCTCAATTGCAGGTTGCCATCTTCTAGATGCCACTTACTTTCCTAGTTGACTTGGTCTACCAAGATTGGTCCATTGACTTGGTCCATCAAGATAACCATGATGCAGTGCGTCTTTGTACAATTGGTCCATCAAGACCAGTATTGCCTACTTAGACTGGCAGCAGCTCTCCTAGTGGTGCATAATGCTAAAAGAGCTAGAACATCTGGCTGCCAGACACTCTTAGGATCTCCTGGCTATATTACACATACTGCCGTACGATAATAATAATAATTATTAATTACTAGCAGTCTAGAGCCAGAATTTTGGCAGGGCTCTACCCCCTCCGTCCACAGATAGTGCAGGCAGGCTTCCCCAAAGTCACAGCAACTGGCGAGGCTGAAAACGAGCCCCATAAGCAGTTTTATAAAGGGTCCCTTAATAAAATAAATACATTCAATACCTCTGACAAAGGCCACTGATGTTCCAGCCACGTACCTGCCAAATAACGTATCGTTTCAAGCTTGTTTGATTCCATGAGTGTTTTCAGGCCCGCGATTTCAGCATCAATTTTATTGCTGACTTCCGATATGGCCCTGTTGGTGCTCGAATCCTGAAAAGAACACAACGTGATCTTAGATTTCCCCCCATTTGTCAAGAACAAAGGTTAACATACACCATTTAAATGAAAAAGAGAGGATCAAATGCGATTAGACGAAGATCACGGATCCTCCAGACACCCATCTCTTCCAAACAACCATGGCCTCAATTTGGATCGGGTAAAGAGAGAGGCCTTATTCCAGGGGTCCACAACATGTTGCCTGTGGGTGTCGCAGCACCTGCTGACACCTTTTCTAGCCTTGGCCTCTATGCCCTGTTGATGGCCACTGAGAGGAACTGGTTGGCCCACTGTGTGTGAGAAAGGATGCTGGACTAAATGGACCAATGATCCGATCCAGCAGGGCTCTTCTTAGGTTTTTATCAGGGGAAGGCCTCGGTCTCTCTGCCCTGTTGTTGGCCCTCCAGAGGAACTGGTGGGCCACTGTGTGAGACAGGATGCTGGACTAGACAGACCACTGTTCTGATCCAGCAGGGCTCTTCTTACGTTCTTCAGGTTCCACCCCAAGGGGATGCAGCCTAGGTTGTTAGTTCGGTCACCTCTTGCCTTGACTATTGCAGCCTCCTCTTCTCTGACTGTCCAATCTCTCCTCGTATCCCCACACCCCTCTGTTCAGGAGATCTAGTGTGATGTAGTGGTTAAGAGTGTCAGAATAGTATCTGGGAGACCCAGGTTCAAATCCTCATTGTGTGCCCTGGGGCCTTGCCAGTTGACCTTGGGCCGGTCACACACTCTCAGCCTAACCTACCTCGCAGGATTGTTGTGAAGATAAAATGGAAGAGATGACAATGAAGGGAGCTGTCTCGGGTCCCCATTGGGGAGGAAGACGGGAAATGAATGCACTAATTAAATATACACTTAGAACTCTCAAACTGAAGCCAATCACTTCTTCTGCTGTTCTGTCCATGGGACACCCCTCTCCTTTTCCAGTAGGCCCTCTATGGCCTATTGTTGGCCCTCCTATTTGAAGAAGAAGAAGAAGGGAAGAAGAGATTGGATTTATACCCCACCCTTCACTACCCAGAGGAGTCTCAGAGCAGCTTACAAACTCCTTTCTCTTCCCCTCCCCACAACTGACACCCTGTGAGGTAAAAGAAGAAGAA